GTTGTTCTTTGCTACGTTGATGATCTTCTCATCACGGGAGACAGCGATGAAGCTATCTACCATGTGGTGGAGCAGCTGAAGACCGCTGTGAAGGTGAAGGTCACAGCCGATCTGGACCGCGACGGTCAGATCACCTTCCTTGGAAGACAGATTGCCCGAGAGCATTCTAGTGACTCCCTGTGTGTCACAATGTCCGATTCCTACTACGAGGAGATCTACAAGGGTTTCTTCGGGAACTCCAAGGTCACCGCGTGCGGCACGCCGCCTAACCTCAAGGAGTTGTACGACAAAGAAGATCCTTGCTTGGAGAAACCCCTGTCTTCTGAAGCTGCTGCGAGGTTTCGCAGTTCCCTGGGAAGGCTGTCATGGCTTGCGATGACAAGAGTGGATGTTGTTTACTACGTGAGCATGCTGGCCCGAGGCCAGGCAAATCCGCTTGAGAAGCACGAGAGAGCTATGAGGGCTATGTTGCGTTACTTGAAGTATATTCAGGGTTTTAAGCAGGTAGTGAACCTGGTTTCTGAGGAGAACCTGCGCCTTGATTGCTATGTGGGACGCTTCCTGGGGTAGCGAGAAGAACGTGGACAGGAAGAGCGTCAGCGGAGGGTGCAAGATGTTGGGAGGTTTCTGTTTGAAGGCCTGGAGCCGTCTGCAACAGGCTGTTGCCTTGAGTTCTGCTGAGAGCGAGCTCTATGGACTTGTGGAGGGTGCGAAGGAGGCTCTCTCTATCCGCCGCGCCATCTCGCATGTCTTTGGGTGGGAGGATCTGCCAAAGCCCCATCTTTTCTGTGACAGCGAGGCTGCAGTTGCTATCAGCAAGGCTGATGGGCTGAGGAAGGTGAGGCACATTGACCTTAGGGCGTGCTTTATCCAAGACCAGCTCAAGCAAAAGCAGATCTTTATCTTCGGCGTGCGTGGTGAAGCCAACGTTGCAGATTTGTTCACCAAACCTCTGAGTTGGACTGTTACCTTGAAGCACATGTGGGGGCTTGGCTTGCGTGACGTTGCCATTGTTGCTTGTGTGCTTGATGGCTTTGTTGCGTTGTGTGGTGCAATGCTTGTTGGAAAGAACCATGTTAGCTTGCGTGACCACTTTGCTGCCATGCCGCATGCCTCTTGGTTGGTGATTGAGTTCTGTGCCCCCGTTGAGTCGTCGATGAGAGCGGCTAGTCAAGACCTGAACTGGGTGAATGTGCTTACTGTGAGTGAGCGTGATGATGGTGCCAGTGCACAGACCTTGCTTGAGCTTAAAGCCGTCTTTGCTGCGCAGATCAAGAAGAAGGGTTTTGTCTTCTTGTGGGCCAGTACCCCGTGTACCGGAGGCTGCCCATATCAGAGGCTGCGTGCCCGTGACCCAGCCTATCGCCGTGGGCGGTTGGCTCAGCACTGGAGGCTTCACCGAAAGCTCTGGAGAAGCTTGGTCGAGCTTACTAGCTTTGTGCATGCTTGGGCCATTGAGTGGCCACGTGCTTGTGCTTACTGGTCTTGGCGCCAGACTGAGCATTTTCTTTCTTCACGCCCCTACGTCTTGCACGACGTTCCAGTAGATGGTTGTGCGCTTGACATGCGAGGCCGCGATCATCTTCTTATCGCCAAGCGGTGGCGTGTTGTTACCACACACCCAGCAGTTGCTGAGAGCATCCGTGTCTATCGTTGCTCTGGGAAGCATGAGCACTCGAAGGACTTCGACCTCAAGAGTACACAGCACTACCCGGTAGAGCTTGTAAAGTCCTTCTTTGAAGCGTTGCGCCCTTGACTTTTTACGAGAGTCTTGTCGTTGTCGAGGACATGTTGTTGCATGTTTGCTGCGCAGCTCGTTTGCTCAAACTTTCCGGTGTTTTCTTTCTTTGCCAGGACGTTTAAGATGTCTCTGGTTCCTTTCGCTGCCGAGCGTGCCATGGTGTTTGGCCTGGTTGTGGAAGTGCAAGAGAAGCTGCTCGAAGTACCGAGTGTCGGGCTTCTCGTTGTTGTGCTTGCCCCACTGCTTGTGGGTGTTGCGCTTGGAGTGTGCTTGCAGAAGCTGCGTACCGAGAGCTCCCGCGTCAAGACTGTGCAGGACCTTCTTTCGTTTCTCCAAGGTCGGGCCAGAAGATGGCTGTCTTTACTTCTGCTTACGGAGACTGTTTCCACGTGCGTAGGGACTGCCACGGCCTCAGGAACGCGATTCCGAATCGCATCGCTGCTAAAGTGGCTTGCGAGTACTGTTTAAGGGATCTCCACCTGGTACCTCCGACAGCTACTGCGTCGTGGGGGGGTGTAGAAAACCAGTGCTCTGCCCACTGCCCAGTAGTGTTTTAGGTGCGACACAGAGTTTTCCTCGGTACCTGTATAGTTTGTATAGCTTTTGCTAGTTTCAGGTGGTCAGTGCCTGTAGAACGTAGTTTGAGCTTGCGTGACGGTTTTGCGGTAGCCTCAACCTGTTTTCCCTTGTTTTGTAGTGCTTGGGAGCTTTTAAGAGGTGCCACGACTACTGTCGTTTGGCTCAAGACACGTGAGACCAGCAGTGAGCTGTGCGTGCTAAAAGTGTGAAGTGTCCGAGTGTTTTGTGAGCTTGCTTTGCTTGCAAGGGTGCTTGGAACTTGTTTGCCTTAAACCTGAAGAGCTGTTCGCCTTCTAGGTTTTTAACGCAGATACCGCAGCCTGTGTGGTGTTTCATTTCAGCACGCAAATGTCCCAGAGGACGCACAACATTTCGCCTCGGTAAGGTGGGGGAAGCCCCAAATGCTGCAAGCCCAAGGCGCTGAGGTTGACCCAAGTGCCAGCCCCTGCCAAGACCAGAGATGTCGCACTGGCACTCCAGCAAGAAAGGTCAAGCGGCAAGGCCACGCAGTCAATGCAGAGCAGAAGGTTGCCGGGTGTTCCGCCAACCACGTACGGCAGGGTATTTCTCAGGACTGCCGCGGACGGGATCCAACCACGCTGAGGCAATGGCACGGCATGCCTCCGCCTGACCAGGCCACTTAGGCTCTCCTCTTGCCAGCGCATCGTTGTTGTTGTGCAAGCAATGGCTGCTTGGTGCAGCCGATCGCCCACGGCGCGCGGATAAGAGAAGCCAGCGAAAGCCCTGCGTCGAAAAGGTACCATCCACATTAAGGGGTCGCGCATGCTCCATGCGGGCACCTTTTCCGGAGCAGTGTATGCACCGTGGCTTCGTCACCCCGCCGACGCGTGCGTGAGAGGGAGACAGTCCATGTGTCTGCTCCAGTTCAGCGTCCTTTGCAAGCAGTATAAGCCATCGGCAAATTCTTATACACCAGAACGTTATGTTGGAACATTAAGCTATAGGCTCGCGGAAACAATGTTTCGAACATGGACGAAAATCTCGTCCGTGCCTCCTTTTTGTTTCGAACGACGAAAAACTCGGTTTTGCCGATCAGTCCCTAGCCTCAGGCTTCTCCTACCGCTCAGTCTCACGATTGCATGGTCGACTGCTCTGAAGAGGCTCGGCGGGTCACCCACCCGAGCAGCATGACAAAACGAACCCCGCCGACCTCTGCAATAACATTTTGCTGTCGCTTTTTTGTTTGTGGGTGTGGGTTTTTGGCACAAGCATCCCAACACCCTTTCGTCCCCGCAGTAGGTTTGATCCACAGCTGCCCTGCGAGTGCCTTGTCACCCCCACCCCGTAGTTCTCTCCCGATCGGCCATGCATGTAAAGTTACGGTCACCGCCGCCGTCACCGTCGTCACATCGTCGTCCGAGCCGAGCCTGGTCCGTCGAGCGCATCGTCCGAGCTGAGCGCCCGTCGAGCCCCCCACATCGTCGATCCGAGCGTGCCGCCCGTCCGAGCCGTCGCTCGCGCTGACAAGACGCACGCAGGGCACTTGGCATGCCGTCCTGTTGATATGCAGAGCACGCAGCATGCGGCTGCCGAAACCGGCTGAGGGGTTCGGGGCTTCAGGGGTTGCTGGGTGGGAGACGCCAGTCGGGATTGGGGGTTTCGGGGCTCTGAAGCTCGAGTTTTTGCCCCTTCTCTGAAAATGTGCTGAAGCTTACTTGGCAGACCTCGCCGTGGCTTGTGCGGCGTTGTACAGCTCGGCTCAACCTGCGGGCCCAGGCACCTTGCCTCTAAACCTCCCCTTGAAGAAAAGCATTTTAACTACTGGCAGTTGTTTCCCATGCATTCGAAATCAAATCTCAAATTTAAATGTGCGCCCTGTCAGTTTCCGCAAATCGTGGCGTTTTGTTTCATGGGGTTCGCAGTGTACGTGGTCATTTGGCACACGTAGCCCATTTTTGACTCAAAGGGCTACTCATTCCGCTCAACACAAGATATAGGCCTTCCGAGTCTGCGACTCTGTCCCAGGATGCCCTAAACCCTTGGTACCCCAATACCCTAAACCATCTAAACCGTTTACAGTTTTGGCTGAGAGCAACTTTCGCGCCATGGTTTGGAACCGCATTGCGCTTGTCAGTCTGCTGCTCGTCGTGCCTGCCAAGGGCCAGTGCGACGCAGGCACCTGCCAAAGCCTCCAGCCATACTTTAATTGTCAAGTAAACTTCGACGAAGGGGCTCCGGTGCGGGGAACGCGATCTCATTCGCAGTTTGCACAGACATTGGCGACGTTGTCGTGCGGGTCGGATTTGTGCGCGACAGCCACTCCGAGCACTATGTCAACGCTTTGCAGGTGTTGAGGCCACACCTAGATCAGGACGGCAACTTCTATCTGCCGAAGCACCTCGATCACTTGCCTGCTGAAGAAAGGTTTGTGGAAACAGTGTTCCTGTCAGGGTTGTGGTCGGCATTGAGATCGCGGCCACTCAGACCGATCCACCTCAAGCGGGAAGTCCACAGCGAACTCTTGTGGCATGAAAATCTCAGGCGATCAGTCGGATGGGTGTTTGACATCGTGGGACCTGCAGCATCATGCATGTATTGCTTCAATGACACATCAGTGGTAAGTTACCGTCCTTAATGCAAACGCCAACCGGGCGATGCAGCAGGATGGTGCCGCCCTGTACAAGGAGCGCGGCTTCCCTTTGCGCTGGAAGTGGAGGTCATGACTCGAGCAAGGCCCGTAGGCCCGTCGATCACGCAAATGACCATCTCGCAGTTGCTGGTTCTTCTGACTGGCTACATCATGGACCTGCAAAAGATGACCTACCTGGGGTTTTTGCACGACAACCATTTCGGGAACCTTCTTCTGGTCGGAACGGGTCAGACCCAGAGCCAGATGGCCTGGCATGACTTTGGTGCTCGAAGCTACTTCCAAAACGCCACGAAAGAACAGTTCGAGAGCTTTAGAGAGCACTTCGACATGTGCTACGACACTGTGATTGAACATCTTCGGAGTCGCCGCGGCACGGGAGGCCTCATTGCCGAGTTGGGCCAAATCAAGTCGGAGTGGAGCTTGAATGGGATTGTCAGGGTGCGTGGCGTATCAGACGCACTGGCCACCCTCGCAGAGAAGTTGCAGCAGGTGATCATGGAATGGGCCGACGGCAGCATCGACATCCGGCGTTCGGTGCTGCGAGCATGGAGCCGAGCATTGACACCAACAAGAGCTGAGGAACTTCGTGATTTTCTGGAGCGAGGTGGGCCTCACCCGGCTCGTTATCATTCACCTTTAAATGTGTATTTGTACGCATTCTGCGGGGCTCTCCAGGCGCTACCTTGGCGCCATCCACTGTCTGGGTGCGGGAGCTAGACAGCAAGGAAAGTGCTGCGTGTGAGAGCAAATTTCGGGCACGGAATCTGCTCGCTGTTGGGAGTAACTGCTTCAGGGCTGTTCCTTGCTGGGGGTGTTTCTGCAACTTCGCTGTCAGTTCATGTCTGCCGCACCGCTCGCCGCGCAGGACAGGACGATCACCGCCAAGTTGAGGCCCAAGGAGGATTCCGATTGCCGGTCGTTTTGGAGCAGCGCCTCTGCGCAGACAAGGTCTCGTCAAGAGGGCGAGGATGAGCTCGAGCCGGCGTTTAAGGTGGAGTCGCCTCAGGCCATCGGACGCCGCGCGATGTGAAGTCGAGTTGGGTCGCATTTCGGCAGGACCACCCACGCCTCAATGATGTGGACGATTTGAAAACAGACCCGGCCTCGGCATGTTTCCTTTTGCTACCTGTCCCGACATTTGCCCAAGTTCACGAGGCCATCAAGCAGAAGAACCCCGTCGGTCTCAAGGACGTCGATGCAAGGAATATCGACATCTACTTACAAGAAGCGCGGAGCCCAGACTGCTTTTTCTGTTGGCTCCTTCCCATGCTGCTTATGATATTGGCAGGCTGGAGCGTGGCGACGCGTCGCAGGCGCATCGACCTCCCTGCGTCAGGACACCAGCGAGCCCAACCCTCGGCTCCGTGATCGGCCAGTTGACTTCCACGTGACGGCAGCACTGCTAGGCAAGATTGCTACGGCTTTTTGCCGCGACCGGCAACTTGAAAGGCCGGGCGATGTGATTTGTGAAGGAAATCGGAGAATCCGTGCTGTGCAGGCATCATCTAGCTGGGCCCATCCTTTTGCACGGACTGGACAGGTGGAGAATCTCGCAATTTGCAAGATCTCCAAAATTCATGTGTCCGTTCGCAGGGCCATGTTTTTGTGGTCAGCGGCATGCATTGAATGTGGCCTGTGCATGCTTCCATGCAGCATGGCAGCCGTGCTTTTTGTTTCACGCATGATGGTTTGTCCTGCTACACAAATTGCTCTTCACTGCACCGGGCTACTTTCTGCTCACAGGGTCTGCATGCTATCTTATTGTGAATAGTATTCAACGCACTGAATGTGCAGGGAGTGCCGACACGAAGAACGCTACCAACCCAGCAAGGTTGAAAACCGATCTAGATGTTGCCGCCATCCAGACATTTCTGTCGCAGCACATCCATGCCAACATCGTGCATATGCTTTCTGCGTCAGTGTGCACTGATGCTGCGCCTCGTCACCGTGACGATAGCACTGGCCTCGTCGGAGCGCGAGGACATAGCTGACCCATGGTCACGGTCATGTTGGAGGAACGGCAGCTGGTTTGATTGCTGTGCTCAGAGCAAGCCGTGCTGGGGAAGTGTTCGGAGGCAGCGGACGTGCTGTAGCAGCTCCCCGGAGGTTGAGCCCATGCTCACGGACTTACACACATGCAGCAATGACGTTGCGCTGCGGCGCGCTTTTCGGCTCGTGTCGCACCAGCAGATCGGCTTTGAAGAGGATTGCGTGTCTCTCTTGGTTTGCAAACCAACCGAAGGTGGCTGGAGAGCAGTGCGAAGTGGATTGGCGGCCAGCTGCTCAATAGGGTCTTCTGCCGCCAGGTTGGTGCCTCCTCTGACGGATCATCTTTGCTCCATGTTGGATCCATTACCGGCGGAGATGTGGTACGATGCAGATGGCTTCGAGCGTATTCGGCGCAGATATCGCTTTGGCACGGCCAACCGGCATCACTGCGCTGTGCCGGCATGGCTGTTAGTGAAAGAAGAAACACTTCGATTATACACGCTCATTCAAGCAAAGTCACAGGTGACAAGAGTCTTGATCAACATCGGGGCTGCAGATGCTGTGATGAGTGATCCTTTGGCTGGCACCTTGAGAACGTTTCAAGGAGGCAGCAGTGGTCGTCCCCCGTGGAGAGGAATATATTTCGAGGCGGCGCAGGAGAATTGCCGCGCGATCCGAAAAGAATTGAAGAAAAACCGTGCTCGAATTCATGTGGAATGTGGCTACACTACACCGATTTCGGTGGTTCCAACCATTTGCCAGCAGCTCCGACGTCAGGAGATTCCAGGTATTGGCCAGGTCTGCCATGCTGCGGGCGTTCCAGGCATGAGCCCAGTCACAAGTGGTACTTTGCCCGATTCGTCTGTGCGTGTGGAGGTAGATGCCATGAATGTTGACATCGATTCCTACGACTGCGCGGTGTTGCGCGAAGCACTTCGAATCCTGAGTCCCAAGATGATTAGCGTGGAAATTTTTCCATACCCTCCGCCGACGGTAGTCTCTTCAGATTACCACCCACAACATCAAGAAAGCGCGAACAGGAACATCTCTGGAAAGAGAGCAAAGCTCGGTGGTACTGGGCGCGAAGGTGCCTTCGTCATGGGTTGTTCTTTGAGCGCCGTTGTGGCCCTGCTGTGGCCACACGGCCTGGGGCTGTACCGCCTCAGTGCGCGTGATGCGCTCTTCGTGCGGGGCGACGTGGCGAGGGAGATTGAATTGGATCCGGGTGGCGGGCCATGGATTCCGGCAGACGAGTTCCAGTGCTGGAGGACGCTTTGTGCAGATTTGGGGGAAACGGAGAACCTGATGAAGCTCACGTCATTGGGAGTTCATGACCATCTGATGCCTTGGGTACATCGACGTGTGAGAGATAAGCTGCTCCACGGTTCCTTCCCAGCACATCCTCTCACCGTGACGCTCGCGATGCCGCCTCCGGTGCATCGATTGCCCGACGTGAAGCTGTTTGGAGTGGAGAAGCATGTAGCATCAAGTCGGGATGCGAGTATGTGGAAATGTTCAGTTGCGTGGCTTCTGAGATGATGAGTGTTGGCCACCCAGCCATGCATCCCTACAAGTTGCACTTGTATCTCTTTGAATACCAATCAGTATGCAAACTGGAGCATTTAGTATTTAGTATATATATATATATGTATGGAAATAGGCTAAACAAAATCATAAGTGCCTGTTTTCCGAGCTTTAGCCGTTCGCATAGGTTTGTCGGCGCAGGGCTTTTCATTCAATGTGGATTGCACGACGTCCAGTTCCTGGCTGCCGCTTTGGTTCACTAAGTTCCGTCTTTCTGCCTGCAGCACATGCAGCCCGGCCAAGGGACCCAAGCAGTAGAGTCGCCCCACACTTGCGCTGATAAGTATTCTGAAGCAAGACTTGCAGAGCTCTACACATAGCTTGCCAACTCTGAAATCCGAGTGGCGATGCTCTCAAAGTCTGGAGCTCAAGCTTATCTGCCGCGACTCTCGTGAACATGGGAAGCTGGAAAGATCTGCATTCATGACGACAGAGAAGCACAAGCTGTCGTGAGCTTGTATGTCTGTGTTGTTTCGGCCTGTCTCTGTATGCGCCTGTTGGCACCGATTGGTATCCTGGGCAGCGCAAAGGAAATTCCTGCCGGTCGAGTTTCAATCGATTTCGTCACATGTATGCCACATGGCAGAGGCGACATTTAGCCAAGCAAGCATCCTTTACCACTTGTCACGGCCCATTTGTTCCCGAGGCATGCCTGGTTCGGCGACAGCTCGCGAGGCAAGGATTTCGCTTGGCTCGTCGATTTTGTGAAATGGGATTTCTGATGTCAGAATGAGTGTTGGCTGATTGCCGAAACCTGCAAGCTTGCAAGGCCCGACCACGCGAATCCTGACAACTGGATACTTGACGACCGAAACGCCCAGAATTCCACAGCCCAAACAATCTCCAAACCCTGGTTCTTCAGAGGAGGCGACAGCTTCGCGAGGTCTCGCGACCTTGTAGGCGGGCCGTGCTGAACAAGCTAAAGCAGGCGAATCCACAACTTAGGATTTCGCGGTAGTGGGATGGGGTTCACCCGACGGTATATGAATCTCGCAAACCGCAAGCTCTTGCCGCTTGTTGTCTCCGCCTCGCAGCAAGAGTTGCTGCGAGCATAACAGCACTTCCAAATCGCGCAGGGTTCTAGACTGTGTTTCTGCTGTATGTCTCCGGGTCCACACTTTCCGGCTGATTGTCCATGAATAAGTAACGGAGTATACTGCATGTATCTGTATGTACACATGTATGTATGGTATAGTATAGAAGTCATGTATCATATAAATGGTGTATGTATGTATGTATGTATGTATGTATGTATGTACCTATGTATGTATGTATGTATGTATGTATGCATGTAAAATGTGCACATATATATATATATACATCTAGAATATTGATGTATACATGTATATATATATATATATATATATGTATGTAGAAATAAACGGTGTATACAACATAACATACTAAATATGTATGTTTACATGACATAAACTCTGTATGATATACATATATACATGTAAGATATATACATATACGTATGTGTGTGTGTGATATGTCTATATTTATGTTGGGTATATATAGATTATCATATGTTTCGTGATTTGTATATTTGTATGTATGCATGGATGTATGTATTTTGTATATATATATATACACTTATGTATACACATACAAGTCTAAATAGATAAATGAACATATGTATATATATATATATATATATATATATATATATTTATATATTTATATGTACACACGCATATACACATACACACGCAGAAAATCTGAATACACAGATATAGGCACATAGATAGAACTATTTCTGTGTAGGTACCTACACATGCGTATATGGTGCTGTATACCATACATTGCACACAAACATACATGCATGCATGCATGTATGCATGGATAGATAGACAGAGAGAGAGAGAGAGAGAGAGAGAGAGAGAGAGATAGCTGCATAGATACAGAGATAGATCGACAGATAGATGGATAGACAGTTAGATAGACAGATAGGTCGATAGACACAGCATGAAGTTTTCTGCCGTGCATTTACGTATATGCCGACCCATTGCTGTCAGGTGGCCTGGCTTCGGAGTTGGTCGCTGCCGCGTCGTCGCTGCTGCCGCATAGTGAAGGCCGACCGATGCACCGGGTCGGGTTTTCGGGCCGCCAGGTGTTGAGGGTGATCTTGGGTTCATGGGTGTTTGTGACGATCGAGCTTGAAGCTGAAGTGACAAAATCAGACCAAGCTTTCAACTGCTCGCAAACCATTTGCCCTTGAGCCGCCCTGGCATTCTGAACGGACCTCGTTAAGAGTCGAGCCACCATGGTTTCAAAGTCCACTTTTGCCGGCATCAAGTCGCAAGGCTTGCAATCCTGAATCCGCCAGGCTGCGCTGGAGTGCGAAACTGCATCGTGTTTCTCTCAGGTCTCAGGAGTGCCTCCTCACACTTTTTTTCGTCGGTGGCCATCGCTTCTGATCCCAGGCCAGGGCCCGGGTTCCCCGTGGTCAAAGTTCGGCTGCTAGCTGAGCTTCCGGCGTTCGTGAAATTCGGGTCTTGGGAGGCGTTGAGTTTCTGTGTGCATGGCTTGACACGTTGAAGATGTTGCCCCCGAGAAGCCCAGAACTGGCCAACCACGAGAATCACATCGATCTGTTGGTAGAAAACAATGAGCGTGAAACCAAAGCAGATTGACTACTTCGTTGTTAGTATGTTATATGTATATACGCAGAAATATGTTTACCGCGGGAATACTTGGGAGTTGATTTTCTGGTTGATATTTTGGGATACTAGCACATGCGACCTATGTCGCATGAGGCATGACTCTACTTCTACCCCAGCAAAACGTAGGTCGCCACCTTGGGCCTTGGAAATCTTCGGAGCAGATTCAGAAACCCATGCCTTGCGCGGGCACAAGGGGGTGGCCCGTGGCCGAATTGCTCTTGATGCTCAGAAGTTTCAGCTTCTGAGCCCTACAAAATCACGCCAAGCTGGTTTTGATCTTGGGTCGCGTCGTTGCAGAATTCAATTAATCGGTTGGCAAAGTAGCAGACGAGCTTCCGGTGTATTCGAAGACCTGCTTCCTCCTCCCAGCCCTGGCCCTGAGCCCCGGAAGCTCTGAACCCCCGCTTGCCTCTGCAGGAACGATGCTTCACAGGCTCGCCCCCCGCGGAAGCTCTGGCTCCGCCTCCTGCCGATTGTCTCTCGCTCTTGTCTGCGAACTTTCGGATCGAAGGTAGGTTGGGTCTTGGCGGGCTGCAGCTTTTGTGCTCCCTGCTCGGTTCAGTCTTGTCCAATGCCAGACGTCGGCCGTGATGTTTCGTGGTTCAGACTGCGTTACCTCGACCGAACCATAACAAGGCTGTTGCACGGCCCACGGGGTTGAAATGGGCTTGGGCTGGGCCCCCGACTCGGACTCTTCTAGGGGGTTGTGGTGACCCTCCACCTTGCCACATTCTCCATTCGGAGCTCCCGTTTTTCAGCCACAGCTGCTCAAGACGCTTGCCGCAGAAGTCGCTCTCGAGGAGAGGCAGCCCAGCGGAGGCTCGCGTTTTCCTGCTCTGAGAAGTCCAGCTTCGTAGTGTCTAGTCCTTCTTTCCGAGGCCATGATGTTCCCTGACGGGCCAGCGCTGACCATCGACGGTGTCGCGTTGGACGTTTACGCATCGGCCCCAATCCGTCATCATGTGTCGCAGCAGCTACGACCTTCTTGCCAAAGGAAGGTGATCAGCCGGTTTGAGGAGTCTATTGTGCAAGGGGGGTATCCTTGACGGGGTAAATTGCAGCAGAGGGCGTGAAGTGCTTGATCTTCGATCTGATCGGCAAGCTCGATAGCCATGACAGCGGCCTGGCCGAGGATGGGAGTCCCATGTACTTCTCGCACGACAAGGCCCGCTCGAGCAATGAGACCTTCCAGTACCTCATACTTGGCTTTGGCTTTGACCTTTTGGTTTTGTGTTATCCCACCATGCATTTTGTGGGGGCTAGGGTACTCAGCCCCGAAGTAGGATCCAGCAAGCGCACGGTAAAGAAATTGAGCAGCAGAGAGGTCCTTTGGCCGACAGCGTGTAGGCTAGATGCACCTTGATGCGCATCTTCCATTCGCGAAAGGAGCTGTCTCAAGGACATGTCTACAAAGTGGAGGCCGGCTTCCTCATGCAAGCAGATTCCAATGACCGGAGCTACGTTGATAGGAGAGAGAAGGTTCAAACTGCCAGTTGACCAGATGTGGTCAACGTTCCCACAAGGCCCCTCGCAGGGAGACCGTGTTTCTGTTGCGGAGGTCTTGACGATTGCAAGACGATGGCCTGTGCGAGGATGAAAGACAAAGACAATCAACTGACGCCTCCAGATTCCCCATGAACCTGTAGTGGCGTATCAGCTGAAGCTTTGCATCATACCTGACTTAGTGTTCAACCTGTCAAAGACCCGCGACCTTGGCTGCAGCCCATGCTGTCCCAGCTCTTGAAGTCTTGAGCGGACGAAGCGAGAGCCGCTCCTCCAGGCCCGCCGGCGCGCTTTGCAGCTTCGTGCGGAGCGCTGGCACCGCCAGGACCGACCCCTTTCAGGAGGACCTCCCAGTCCCCAAGTCATCCCAAGCACAGAGCTCTGCTAAAGGTGGCCTTGGCTGCGCTGCTGGTGGACCTGCAGAAGGCTTTTGAAAGTGCTGAGAATCTGTCGTGGTTCCACATCTTCCTGCTCAGAGCCTCCAGAGTCTCCAGACACTCCACGAGCTCAGGGGTTCGATTTTGTTTTATTTTTCGCTGGCCAGCTGCCCACTGGCTGCTGCGGTTCTTTTCGACTTGTCCATAAGCCGATCCGTTTGGAGCGCGTGCGCTAGATTGCAGAAAAACTTGCATGCGGGCCGGCACAGGTCTGTAGCCTCGACGAAGACGGAGTGCTCTACGGCTGCTGTACTCCAGCGCCCAGATGTGGCCTTTGGGAGAAAATGTAAGCTGAGAAGGTTCAAGCGGTATTGACTTTGCTCTAGAGTCTAGAGATGTCTAGAGCCGGCTTGAAGGTTTGGAGGCTCTCTTTGACAAAAGGCCCAGGATGATTGTTGTTGGATGCAGAGCTCCGCACTTCGCTCTGATGCCGAGGACACGAGGCCGATCGAGCCAGGCCTGGTGTGCACCTGCTTCGAACTGTGAAAGGATTGCCCAAAAAAGCCCCGATAAAGCAGAGCACGCAGAGCACGCGGAGCTGAGCGAAGAAGGCGCTTCCAGCGGCTTTGTGCCCGGCGGCATCGGGCAGAATCGGCCCCGGTCTCGGGGGGCTTGGCCATTCGATTTCGTGACATTCCGCCATTCCGCTTCACTTCAGTTTCCGGCCATCCGGAGTGGAACTCGACCAAAGCCAAAGCTGAAGTTGCGAAGCCGAAAGCCTCTTCTTGCGGCAGACCTTGAAAGCTCCGGCTGCTGTGGCAGACTCGGTTTGTTGCTGGCTGCTGCCCGCAGAGGCTTGACTGACCCTGATTTCGGGTTTCTCACGACATCCTTTCTGTGCGGTGGTTTTCTGAAGCGATGGACATACCACCACACACGCACTACCACAAATCACACAGCTGTCTCTCCACATCCGCACGATACCGCCAACTGTCCGAGGACAAATACTCAAATCCTGTTGTATTTACTTGACTGTCTTGAGGGATTCTGGATTTTTGTTGCGATTAAACATGTGATTTTGCTAGTCGAATTGGGTTTTTCGTTCCTAGCAGGGAGCAGTCTAAACGTTCGTACCAACCCGTTGATGTAGGTGTTGTGCTTCTTCATGATCTAGCTTATTCGATCACTGTGGTTGAATACAAGTGAAAGTTACAGTACAACGAACAAAGGAGCAATCTCAGAGCAAAGACGACAAGCACACGCACTTGTTGGAGGGACTTCGACGCTTGCAGGCGAGCCCCAGCGACAGTCTTCGACCGCAGCTGCATCATAGTAGGTTGGGGAAACCATGAGAGCACAAAGAAGCTCAGAGCAACTCAGTGTTCGTGTGGTGTGCATCGGGTTCCACATACCTTGAAGTCCTTCTCTTGTGGCGCAGAGTGTAAGCCCAAAGCGCTGGGATTTGCAAGATAGGTCAAGAGATCCGAGCATAGAAGCCATGGATCCTTCGCCGGAAAGCGCTTGCATCGAGCCGCCGGGTTCTTCGGCTGTGACCACGGGGCATGGGATTGTTTCGGGGTTCCTTCTTTGTGGGTGCTTGGAGACATCCCACAAGTTCTTAAGGGGTCGTGACTAGCGCTTGAGACCTCGGGCTGGACCTCCGTGGCTGGAACCCCAAACCCGCCAAAATTTCGCGCATAAATGACTGAGGTGTTATGACGACACGGGCGAGGCTGTCCTCCATGATCCGCGATCAAGAGGACACGGTTCGGCATTCTTTAGGTTTCACACGCGGATCCCGGAACTCCGTTTAGAAACAGGGATGGGGAGCAACTTTGTGCAGAAGAGTGTCCAGTCGGGCCCGAAGGTTTGGATAATGTCCTTGAAGGTTGGAGTCGCTTAGTCTTCGCTCCCGATCGGAAGCCCTGACATACCTTTAGGCTGCTGGAATCCGGTTGCAGTTTGGTCGTAAGAAACGGCTAAGGCCCGGGGCCAAGTCTACTGCTTTCAGCTGGAGAGAGTGACAGGGAAGTGGTGTTCTTCGTTCTCCAGGGTGATGAGATGATGTGAATAGAGATTGTGATGTCGATGATTTACTCGGAGCTCGTAGGTATGGGGTTTGCAGGGTTGCTTGGGTTCCGGTTCTGTGCCAGGAAGCTGTGCGGCATCTGCTGGCAATGCACCGGCAAGAGCTGGAGGCTGTGCTTCCTGTTCTCGACAGAAGAGTTTCAAGCAAGGGTCTTGCGCAGGCATCGTAGCGAAGAGTTTTGATTTTTCTGCAGCTAGCGGTTGCTCCCTTAAATTTTCAGTTCAAACCACTTCAAGCCCTGAGCCAAAGAGGTGGCGATGTCCGAGCATTTCGACGGCGGTGGTCCGGACCACAACCACCACAATGGCTGCTATCTGAATGGGAGGCATGCGGGGCGGGGGTCAGTTTTCCTCTCAGGAGGCCAAGGAGGCCCATCGCTGCCGCACACCGTTGCAGGTTTCCCAAACCCAAGGGAAGAGTAGCCGTAGCCTTCGGCTTCGCCAGGCCCGATGCTGCCGCCCTTGACGATGGAGCTGCCAGGGAAGACAACAGCTGAGTAGTTGGGGGACGCAGAATCTAACCGGAAAGCAAGCGCAGGAACATGCACTTTCTGCAAGCAGTCTCCAATACTCTTCAAGCTCCAAGCCGGTGAAACACCAGATGCTGGACCTTGAGCAGGAGCCGAGAAGGCGGCATGGCACCATGAGGCACCGTGTGATTCACGATCATTGGGCTTGTCGGAGTGTCCTGGACAGGATGAGTGTGACTGTTTTCCGACAACCTGCATCTCTGCTGCAAGGCGATCCATGCACGCCCCAATCACCTCGGGCCCCGCATCGAGAATGTGAGCTTCGTCCGAATCGCGTGCCTTTGGCCTGTTTGGGAGGGCGAGGTGAATATCTTCGTCTTCCGGTCGGAAATAGGCATTATCCCAACTTCGAGACAGCAAGTGCGATCGACATTTGGTTGAAAAGCTGTGGTACACGATTCGACTCCGGCATTCAAAGGGAAGGTCGGAAGTTCTCATCGGCTTCTGTACTTTGGGGTCTGAGTTTTGGGGTTCCCTTGGCGGCTTTTAGGCAACCAGTGCGTGGCAGCGCAGCACTGACCACTGCTGCATGCAGGGCGCCGGAGACAAAGGCAGACGAGCTGCAGGGCGCTCGGGTGTCGGGCAAGTGTCCTTAGCCGTATGGATGCCAGCTCTACTGTATTGCCGTGATAATCATCATTTGCATCATGTTTTGTTGTTATTCATAGTATTGATAGTAACAGCTATGAAAATTCTCTTGCTATTGCGATTATGATGCTGGCAACTACGGTTCTTCTTTTTCTTCTTCTTACCAAATTGGCTGCTGTATTTCGGGGAGGATTCCTCAGTTTGAACCCTACAGGCCAATGGAGGCCGGGGTGAGGTCGGCTCCTTCCGGGCTGCAGTGACGAGCAGCTGCAAACTCTGCTAGTCTGCGCGCTTGTATGCTCTGCCTTACAGAAGCGCATCGAGCTCTGATGATCTAAACTCCAGAGGTCCATGAAGACTTGAAGGTGCTTGGGATGCCCCCAGACCATCCTTTTCTTTTCCCACTCCGCACAAGGTTTGAGACAAACGGGGCTATTGCCGTGACCATACCGGCGGAGGCTCACTCTGGGCTTACCAGGAAGTGAGCGAGCTTCTGGGTACTCAGCTGTGGCTCCAGCTTCGACTGGAGCTGTTGTTAATCCAGCCGGAGCGGTGTGAGCAGGTCGATGGAAATTGAAAGCTCATGCTTACGAATCAGCCTGACTGCGGGTATCCCAGATATTTTGGCCTGGTACGTTACGGTCCAGCTCGCGAGGCCCAAGAGCAATCCGAGCGCTCCGAGCGCTCCGAGACTCCTGACTGTCAGGGAGGGGCGGGGAAGTCTTCCAGGGTCCTCGCGTCAAAGGTGCAAGCGGCCTCCAACCACCATTCAGGAATGTTCAAAAAGAGCATGAATGAGGCCCCGAGCCCCGAGACCCTATACCTGAAAGTTCTGAGATTTGTGGAGACAATAGATTGATCTGTTGGGGGCGTGTTTCCTGTTGCTGTCATCGGTGGTTGTAGTCGTGCAAGACACGTAAGGTTCCTGCAATGGCGTTGTAAAACCATTGATTATGAGCATGATTGTTTGTCACTGGGTGCAAGGTCTGCACCTGCGGCTTTCGCGAACATTCACGGACAGAAGAGAAGGTCTTGTTCCGTGCGGGTCGGATCGGGTCGGCATGGCTTACTGGTATCGTTGAAAGGTTCACGGACAAAGTTCGGAACAGCCTGCAACTAGGAATGGAGGGGGTGCCCCGTTTGAGACAACACCAAGAACAACCCAAGCAAGAAGTTACCAATCAGGCATCAACAAGCCCCGAAACCATTTGCGACAATTCTCGGCTCTGGCTCTCGCGCGGAACATGCAGGTGGACGTTCTCACGGCCCGCTCCGTGCGATTTAACACAGTCTTCTTTGCGTCGAAGGTTTTGAGGTGCATGTGCCACTGCAGCCAGCTGCATCTGCCATCGTGGTTTGCAACGTGTCGTCAACGTGTATCCCGTCCCTTGAGCTCTCGTACTACTCCGCCGGGGCAACTCAGGGAGTGCACCAGAATCTTCTCTTAAAAGCGGATATGTTTAACGCACAGAGAAGACGCTCCAACCTGAGCACCTGTGCCTTGCTCCTTCGGGGGATGTAACATACCGTCAACACAACATGCTGCAATATCCTGCAAGTGATGTTGCTAAGGGATGAGTTGCCATAATTCACGTCACGTCAGCTCATTCTGAAGGTCTTGCGAGCAAAGTATCACGAACAAGATAATTTTGCAGTTTTTTCGGGTCAACACCGATTTTTGTACGGGGGACACCTGACGAACCGTCCAGGCGCACCTGTTCCTGTTGTCCATAAAGCACCTGGAGAAAATTCTTTCAGCCGCCCGTGTCCGAAAATAGATCAGCGGGAATCATCGAATGCGCATTAAGTAACCTAGAGTTCACATCCCCACCTATGCCCGTTGTCACCCGAGCATCACTGCCCTCGCCAAGGAGGTCGGGAAAGAGTTCGGAGAACCCTCTCAAGTCGGGGCGAACATCACAAGGTTCGGGGGGCGGGGAGAGGGAGGCCTGGGTCTTCGGGCTTTGGATCTGTTCAGCCGTGAGATTGGCTGAAGCCCCTTTGGCAAGGTCTCCCAAGTCCAGCTAGGTCGGGGTATATAGAGAACTGAAGGTTTCGATTGGCAAAATCGAAATGTCGGTGGCAGAAGCAAATCAAGGTTCATCTCGACAGAGGGTAAAGACACTGAGCCAAATCCGTCCGCCCGAACCCAGTGAGCGCGGCCGTGGCTCTCGTGGAGGATACCGTGGAAGAAGTCGCCGAGCCCCTTTGGCGCAAGTTTGGGCACCAGCCGAAACCACGAAGCCACAGAGAGTCACTCATCATCTCTAGCACGTGAGCACGGGAAGCGCGTCCAAGGTTCGTCGACTACGGGCGCAAGTTGCTGCAGGAGCTCCCCCCAGTTGTTTTTGCTAGTTTGCGTGCCAAAGACTTTCAAGCATCCAACCGCAGAAGTTGGTTCAGTTGAGCGAACCGTGGCTTTAGGCGAAGTGCCAGAAACAGAGTTCGCAGACAATGCTCGGCAAAGCCCCATTTGCAGCACTGGCGGCAGGATCAGGGCCTGGGCTTTAAGGAGCTGGCGCCTTGTCCCAATTTTCACAGGCTTTCTCCAACGTAACGGGGGTTCGAAGTCGCTTGGAGGTTTGATGGATGCTAACCAATACCACATCAGCAGGCTGCCTTTTTCAGGCGTGCTTTCCTGGCTGATCGGAACGCAGATTTGGGGGAGAACGTGCCGCCATGCCTACCTGCAAGTGGCGGAGGCTATGGTGAGTGTGGAGGATGGAGAGAGTTTGCAAAACGCAGCCGCCGACTCAGGACTTGATCGTGGGAGTGCTTATCGCCATCAACACCATCGCCGCTCTGGCTGATCCTTCCCAGCCCCAGCTCTCCGCCAGTAAGACGGAGTGGCTTCCTGTGGCTTCCTTCTTCCCGGGAATTGGAAGCATGCTGCTTGTGCAATCTTCGAGCTTGTTCTGGCCAACGGTGTCCTCAGCCGAATCCCACTTCCTGGAAGGTTCTGTGTAGATGCCTAGGTGATGATGATTCGGAATGAGTACTTGGGCTACGAAGTGTCTTGGCTGAACTGCAGTCGGGATCGCGAGTGGCTTCGGAGTAAGGCATTCCTGCATTCACCGTTTCGGTCGGTTTATGGCTATGGTCTTTTGTGGCCAGAAAAAGCCTCATTTCCTAGGCGGGTGTCCAGCTTGGCCAGATGGATAGCCACTCGCCTCAAAGATGGGGCTTCGGATGTGCGAGACCTCAGACTCAGCATGCGCCGGTGAGTCGTTGAGGTCGTTTGCTGTGGGTGTAGACTCTGCATGGATGTGGCAGTGAGCTTCTGACCTCCAAACAGCTATACCAACGAAGCCGTGATGGCATCCGGAGCATCAAGAGCCAAGCTGGAAAGCACAAGGTAACCCCCTTTCCGGTCTCAACGATGTCCTGGTGTTCTTGGAGCGGGGCAGCTTGGCAAGAGGGTAAGCAATCTAAGTGTGTACTAAGTGTGCCAGGCAAGAACACCGCTGAAACAGAGGAGACAAGCCCTGAGGCTTCGCAATCGTCTTCCTGATCGAGCTCGTCATCCGCATCCTTGTGTTTCGGCTCATTTGAGCCCGAGACCCCAAAGTTCCTGTCGAAGCAGCCGCATCGACACTAGGAGTCGCAGATTCGGGGGCTCGGTCGACGAATCTTCCACCAGCATGTTCGGGGTCTTTTGCTTTCGGTCTCCATACTTCCTTCTTGTCGCTTCTCAATGCCTCAATGCTTGTGCGGCCTCAGGTCCTCCGCTGCCAGTACTTCTGCTCGCTCTGGAACTGGTTCGATGCACCCCGGCTTTGGAAGTCTAGAGCTGAAGTGATTGACTAGGGCCACCGCACCAAAAGGCACCAACCCAACCAGCGTCGTGGGCCGTGAATGTCAGGGTACTTGAATGTCTGACAAATCAGAAGATCCATCCATCTTGCAAGGTGATCTTGGTTCTCATCAGCATGTTTGATCTATTCTTGCTCGAAGCAATGATGATCGAATACGAGTGCCTCGGCATTGAGAAGCCAAGCCATGTCCCAAAGCCCCTTCTGGGATTGATGAATCGAGTATCCACATGGGCCTCCAGCCTGGGACGCTTCGGAAGAGGCAGGGCTTCAGCAAACGGGAGCCCTGAGCCCTTGCTGCCGACGAGGTTTACTGTGAACGTGACCATGATGCGCCTCGCACGGACGGTGAAGCTGGCGAGAGCTTTCAGGACCACTGCTCACCGAGCAGGGGTGCTACATCGGTAGCTGTCTCAGAGATGGAATCATCCTCGCAGAAGAGAGAGCCCTGTTCAGGATCATGCGCACTCTGCGCATGTTCGAAGCCTGTCTGCCAGTCAGAGCTGCTTTGGAGCGTTGTAAGTGCCGGAGCTGAACCTGAAGTCTTCGTGCCAAAGGCGGACTTGAGCCGCGAAACTGTTAAGCCATCTAGATTCTCAGACCAGGCACGACACACTGGGTCCTGAACCTAAGCCTGCTGAGGAAGGGCTGCGTGTCCTGGTCCATTCGGTCAGTGCTTTCCTGCCCTCGCTGATGCGGCTCAGCATGGTTCGTGTTTTACGGATTCATCGTGCTGTGGCCGAGTGTTGCACGGCCTCTGAGCGCTGAAGCTCTACTTGTGTTTCGGAACGCTGAACGCCACGCTGCAAGTTTCGAAGATTTCGGGTGCTAGAGAAGTGAAGCGGTATTGTCATGCCCATGCCTCTGGAGAGTTGAGGGTGGCAATTTCGCAAAGTTTTGACTTCATTATGGAGTGCTTCGGTTGTGGGGGCAGATCTGCCACTGACGGCTTCTGGGGCTTGTGGGGTTAATGGCTCCCCGCGAAAGTTTTTTGACTCGCCACTGCTGAAGCGAACCGAAGCAAGAGCCCCCAAACACCGAACTTGCATTATGCCTCAAACTTTGAATCCTTCAGTTTTTCTGCTGCATTCCGACGCTTCGAGGTGGGCCATGATCTTCCTTGGGCTCTTCATAATAGCCGGTGGCATCCTTCTTGGTGGCCTCCTTCACGGATTCACGGTGCCTTTGCCTTAAGGTCTGCGGGTTGCTCACATGGGTGGTTGTCAAAATCATGGTCCCTTGTTGGGTCCTTATTACAATACGGCACTTAATATATATAGGGTACCCAAAAAGGGACCTTAATTTTGATGTCTTCCCACATGAAATCACGGGACGAGGTGGACCCGGCATCCGACCCCGACCTTCAGCTCTGGACTTGGCGGCACTATGGAACGGCTTCGCGGGCACCTTGCACGGAAACTCTTTTGCCTTGAGCACTTCGAGTTTGGAAGGGGCTAGCTTTTGTGTTTGAAACTATTGTCATCGCGATTCCCGGAGAGACGGATACCCAGGATACCCAAGAGAGTATGCTGTGCCGATAGGGTGCTTGTAACTTCGGTAACAAGAAGTCCTCCGTGTTTTCGTGATCGTCCACTGAACTTCTTCTTCATGGACATTATCTTGCCTGCTCTTTGTGCTATCTGCTTGCTGCGCTTGTTGGTGATCGGACACGATCCCGCGTTTTTATCACGTATTGACCACATTGCATGTTGGAGGCTAGGCACGACACACTCCACCGACGCTAGCGGTGAAGCGGTGAAGCTTACCCCACTTAGAGCTTTTCAGTATTTTCAGCTTTGAGTTGGTGGTGGGCTTGCATTAAGCTGCCCGAACTTTCGCGACCCTTGCGCATGCTTTTGTTTGCAGCAGCTCACATGCTTGTTCTGCTTTGCTTGTGCTGCGGCAGCTGTGACAGGCGGTATGTTGACGGCCTACACAGAAACAAGACATTGAGCCAGCACTGAGGCCATCTATACGATGTTCGAGATCACTTTTGCGGGGTCATGGCCTCTGTATGCAAGACCTGTGATCGAAGACATAGCAGTCGGTGACTTGGCTTTGTTTCGGGAAGCGCGAGGCTTCAGTCAGTTCTTCAGTGTTCCTTCGGACCGCAGGGAGTGTTTTGCTGCTGTTTGAGTTTGGTTGTCGTGAGTCGGAGCTGAACTCGGTCAACTTGGCTGCAAGACGCCGACGTGCTGTCCTGCAGCGATTGCCTTGGGTTTCACAACAGGTTTGGCCATAATGCAACGAAAAGTTCGATTCCACCGGAGTGCACCGTTTTAACTTCTGTGCATGACCGGAAATTCGAAAGCATAGAGACGACAAACGAATGACAATAGCACAGACAAAGCTTTGCTGAGTAGACACAAAACGACAACGGCATAAGCGACATTCGACTCTAGATTCAGAGACAACTTCCAAAACTGTCGTGCTTCTTTTTTTTGCATATTTGCATGCATGTATTATTGCAAATGAGTTTGAGAATAAGTGTACAGCTACATATACAGCTATCTATAAATCTGTATACACAAGCACATATATATATATATACACATGTATATGTATATATATATATATATATACATACATATGCTGTCTGTATGTCTGCATGTCTGTGTGTCTGTACCAGTATGTGTGTCTGTATGTCTGTATGTCTGCAGGTATGGTATGGTATGTATGTATGTACGTATGTATGTCTTATGTGTGCGTTTGTTGACGGCATCGTAAATTGACGGCATCGTAGCCTGGAAGAGGCACAAGGAAAAGGAAAAGCTGGCCCACCGCGAGCTTGCCAAGCTTGTTTGGAACCTCTTTCGGACCACCAAGGAAAGCTCCTTGCTCTCTTTTCGTTTAAGCCTAAGGAAGAGCCCTAGTCCTGGGAGTTCTGCCCTCACGCTAGGCTCGCTTCGCCTGCGGACATCGACTCGGATGCCATCGCTAAGGAGTGGACTCAGGCGGCGTGCTCACCTGAGGACTTGGCCTTTTTGCTCGCCACTGAGGATGTGACCAGGTTTGGCAGCAGTGGAGTGCTTCGGCTGAAACTGCACTCAGGGCAGGCGGTGGCCTCTGGTCCGGTTGTTTTAAGCACGGCCTGGGACAGGACCTTCGGGAAAGGCAGCTGCGTAGGGCTCTTCGTCGTGCTGCGGAAGTCGGCAGGGTTGTGCAAATGGGAGGAGTGCCTCCACGCGCTTTGGTCAGCAAGCTTGAAAACAGCTGTAGGCTCCTTGGTGGGCTTCTGGAAGCTCAAGCAAGAAGCTGGCCTGGTTGTGCTGAGCGGCTCCGAGATAGTCTTGCCGCTGTTCTCCCAGCCAAGCACAACACGGCTTTTAAGCACTGGAAGCAGCAGGTCTTTAGCTTTTCAGGGGCGGTTCGCTGGCTCAAGAACACTAGTCCTCCTCCGTGGGCTCTTCGTACCGAGGACGGCGACCAGTCCACGGGTCGGGCGTCGGGTGTGGCTCTCTTGAAGAAGGTCTGGACTCCTGTGTTCAGAGGGCCAGAGGGTTACGAAGCGGACGTGAACTCGTACATGACCGAGTACGAGCAATGCCTTCCGCCGAAGCGCCAATGTTTTCTGGCACCGCTTACAATCCAGGAGCTCCGGAGCAGAACGGCGGCCATGCGCGGCAAAGCCGCGGGCCCGGACAGGTGGTGCGCTACTGCGCTTCTTCTTTTGCCCGAAGATGCTTGGATGCACCTGCTCCACCTGCTGTCACTTGTCGACAGGCGGGATGTTTGGCCGGCCGCCCTTGTGCACTGGCGGTTAGCTGTCATACCTAAACAGGCCGCGGACAGCAATGCTTGGACGGATCTGCTTAAGGTCCGCCCAATTGCGGTGGGACCCTTGATCTACCGCGTTTGGGGAGCCACGAGGTTTCGCCAGCTTGGCAAGGAACTGAAGGGGCTTCTGCCCACGCTGCAAGCCGGAGGTCTCCCTGGCACGAGCTGCGAAGGATTCCTGCTTTCACTACTTCACGAGTGCGATGCCGATGAGTTTCAGATGGGTTTTTCTCTGGACTTCTGTAAAACATTCGATTCGGTGGACTGGAAACGCGTCCTAAGCCTCCTTGAGCGACTGGGCCTCCCTTCGGAGGTTCCCAACGGCTTGCGCGGTCAATGGTCACAACACAAACGATGGTTTTCGTATAGATCTTCCATTGCTAAGGATCCCTTGGTTGCTCCTGCAGCTCTTCTCCAGGGCGACCCCTGGGGTCCCTTGGGCTTCGCGGTTGTTCTCCTCCCAGTGCTCAGGAAGATGGAAGCTTTGCACCCAGGCTTGGTCCAGACTGTTTTCCTGGACGACAGGACCGGATCGGTCAAGACTGTCGATGCGCTGAGACTCGCCTTGCAAGAGTGGACTCTTCTAGAAGGGGTCACGCGGCTCCGCACGAACCAAGGCAAGACTCAGTTTTGGGCTCGGACGCCTGAAGCGCGCCAAGCCTTGACGGAAGCTGGCTTCGTTGCTAAGGATACTCTGGATGCTTTAGGCATGACCCTCGGTCCGGAACGCAGGCCGCAGTCTGCTAAGGATCTACAGCGCTCTAAGGACTGCAAGGAGAGGGCAAACCGTCTTCACTGCCTTCGGGTTTCTCTTGCTTTAAAGCGGAGGGTGGCCGCGTGTGCCATTGCTCTCAAGGCCGCGTGGGGAGTCATCCTCAACGGGCACTCTGTGCCTTTGACTGAGGCTAAAGCTTACGCTACGACGTACAACGATGCGGTCAAGAGCTCTTCGCTCAGGAGGGGTCGTGCCAGCGTTCCGCTCAAGCGCATGGCCTTCTTGGGACACATCTGACCTTTTGTTCATGGGTGTCTCTCGCTTCCTCAACGCGAGTGCGCGTTGGGCGCGTCAGCGTAGCGAGCAAGGTGTTCGGGTCAGCTGGGCTCCTTCCTTTGTCCCGTTGCTGTCGCGTCTTCTGGGCAGTGGTCCTGTTCTGCGACGAGGAGGGAGGTCAAAGACTCTCGCGGTCGTCGGATGCTCGCTTTGGGTGATGATGCCAATGCTCAGGATGCTGCCCTCCATAATAGGCTTCGTACGTCTTGGCGCACTGTGCAGCTTTCGGAGTGGAAAGATAGTCGCAGGCGGGATAGTGCCATCGCCCGTCGCATTCGTCTTGATCCGAAGTCAGACGCTTTGCATTCGAAGTTGAAGACTCTCTTGGATCGTGCTCCTGGCCATGAGGTGTCTGTTGCTACGGGCGGTATGATGACGGAGGCAGTTCCGATGCAGATTTAGGACTGCAGACGGCCTAGGGCCAGAGTGTGCCAGGATTGTGGCTGCCGTGTAGTCCCTTCCCCGCAGTAGATTAGGGTGGAGCCCGAACCTCTCGTTGCAAGCCTGCAGGGATCTGTTGAAGCAGCTTGGCCTCACACGGGCCAGAGAGTGCCTCAACCGTGGTAGACGCCACCTGTGGTGGAGGACTGACGCCTCTTCCGGTGCCTCGGGCACCACCTTCAGCCTCTCACTCCGGCCAAGGACTGTCGAGGGGCTACTTGCCTCTGGCAGGACTTGGCTCCAGCTAGGGAAATCTCGGGGCTGTACCTGCTGTTCCTCGGGCACTGCTTCCAGCAATGCTTGGCTCTCGCTTAGGGAACTCTCGGGGTTACTGCTGCTGTGCCTTGGGCACCGCCTCTGGCAGGACTTGGCTCCAGCTAAGGAACTTCTCGGGGTTTCTGCGTTTGCGGTGCCTCGCGCATGCGCGCCTCCGAAAGTTCGGCTAAGGAAAGTTACGTGACTGCTGCGTCTAGTGCGCCGCAAACTTCAGGCGCCGCCTCCGGCAGGCCCTGCCTGCTCCTCCCGACTCCGGCTGGGGTCTGGTTTGGAGGTTCGCTTCCCATGGTGGTTTTAGGCGACAACGAATCCTTGGCAAGCGAAGGGAAGCTTCAAACAATGGACATGTTCGAAGCCAAGACCGGTCGCTTGCTTCAGGGATTCCAGCTGGTGACTGACCAGGGCAAGACAATTGTGCAAGTGAGCCAGATCCGCAAGGAAAGCCTCCCTTACGATGTCTGCCCACTCTGTGGATTTTCATCACACGCAGCCATATAGCTTCTATACTCGCGAGACCAACACAGAGGTTTTCGCCAAGAGTTGCATCCAGCCACCCGCATCCATCCTCGCCACTGACATTTCCAGGGAGATTGATTCTATACAGGCTCAGGGTGCCCTTCAGCCCGCCCGTGTCACCGAATGGCTACAGTACAATCAGGCTACGCTCAACAACTTCTTGCAGCCAGACTTATCCAGCAGTAGTGCCAGGCCTCTCCAGGTTGGCACGATGGACCTCGCAGGTCACCCCTTGTCCCGAATGCGGAATCATGTACAGTGACATCCCCTCCCTAGGTCAACACCAGACCAGACGGGCAGGAGCATGTAGTCGCTGACTACACCCTGTTCTCGGCCGAAGGCCTACCGAAATGTGTGTTCTGTAAGCACGCCTTCTGGGGCTGCCAGTCATCCGCTCCCAGGTTCCGGACTGGGCAACCACAGGTCTCGGACTCATCCTGAGACACGCCTGCCACGATTGTTAGTCTCGAATCCCACATGGCATACCCTCATGCAGGAAGGCATTCTCCGCACAGGCAACACGATGCAGCAGAATTTCTGCTTTATTTGCATCGGCAGTTGCAGCCTCGTGCAGTGGCAAAAGCGAACTCTCCGTGACAGGCAGTTCCAAGTTGGGCAGGAGGGATCAGCTCTCGTGATCAGTCTCTCCCTTAGCACTTCGTCTTGGCAAGACATTCAAGATCTCCTCAACACACGGCGCCGCCAGAAGGGGATTCGTGCCCTCAATCGGCGGCCTGAGCTTGTCGTACTGCAACTGGCTCGCTACCGTGATGACTGCAGCAAACGTGAAGACCATGTGGAGCATCAATCCAGGATTGCACTACATGTGTTCACCAACCCACATACAATTTGCATACACCTGGGAGCACAAGTGACTGCAGGCCATTACCAGGCGATTTTGTATGATCACCAGAGCCGAAGCTCGTTCTGACGACGATGGCAAACCTGCTGTACTCATACGTGACATTCAGTCCTTGCCGCAAATCAATCGATGCGGCTCCCTCCTATTTTATGTGACTGACGACGACGGCGCTGTCGCATAGGTTCTGTCACATCCCTCGCATCGCTCTCGGGAGCAACGGCTCAGAGCAGTCTGGTCTTTTGCGGAGAATGCGAAAGGCATGCCATCTTGAATGGCCGGATGCTAATCATCTGTCTCGACAATTTCGCTAAGCTTGACGACTCGAGCAGCACCTTCAAAGTCAAAAGTATGCCTATAAATAAATAGATACATAAACAAATAAATATATATGTAGACGCATGTTTATGTGTGTTTGGGGGCCAGTTGCTGCGAGAGTGTGTTTTGACACTGTCATGGGACCAGTCAGCCTTCACAAAATCTCGCATAGTGCCCAAAGAAATTTAGCTCTAACATATGTGATGTAATAGACGCTACCAAGACTGCAAAACACGTAAACATCAGCACTTCCATTGTGGCTTGTTTGGCTAAGCCAATAGTTAATGTGTCCTTATAATCTTCATGCATCAGGCTTGGTCGCGAGTGCTTCGGACTTTGAGTGAGAAGCTTCATGTTTTCAATCTCCTGTCGGTTTGGTGGAACATGATGGGTTTTGTGCCCAATGCAGAACTTTCAGCAAACCGATCCCATTCGAGGCTATTCGCTCTTCTTCGTCGCTTACATCGTCTTTGTTGTTTTTGCAGCCACTTTTCACGCAAATTTGTGTTGCCCTTGACAGGGTCGGTTGGGTGCGGTTGAGATGAGCGGTCGGGAGCCGAGTTGTGTTCCGAGGCCCTTTGCTTTTAGGTCCCTACACCTGCAAGCTTTGCATTACAACCCTGCTGTCGGAAACGGCGATCTGTTCAGTGTGCCTGAGAGCTGACGCCGGCACTCTTTCCAAGGTGATCCGCGTAATCTCCGCAATTTTCCTCAAGGTGCTTGGAGCATGGCAGAGAAAGTTTTCCCCAGAATCCTTACTTGAGATTGTTGGAGAGGGTTTGCTTCGGCAGTCTTGTTGCTTTGTTGCGCTTCTTGGGCGGTGTGCATGTCTTGCACGCAAAGAAGCCGACGTGCTCGTCCGAGCCAAAACCGCTGAAACGCGGGCAGAACACTCGATGTCTGTGCCCGAGGCCGTGAAGCCCACAGCCGTACAGCCCTCAAGCCTCTGAACACCCAATCCTTAAAACCTTGAGTCCAAAGCGCCAACCCAACCACAGGAGACGTTGGATGCTGCGCAGAATGATGCCCAGCTTGTCGTGTGCTCCGGCCCACCCGACCTGGGAGTCTCAGAAATACGGGACCCCCCGATGTAGAGCCCAGAAATGGGCTTTTCGGGTTTCGGGTTCAGAGGATGAGCTTCTGGGCTGGCGGGATTCAATGTTTCTCGAAGTGGGACTCTCATCCCTCGTGCACCTCATGGAGAAATCCTGAGCTTAGCTCTGAGGCGGGAGAAGGCCAAGGCGAGCCAGGAGTACGTCAAGCGCCTGAACAAAGTGCAGCTTGGAACGACACCGGGGTTTGAAGGAGTTTTCGCTTTCTGATTCTGAAGGAGAGTGAAACATGCTTTTATGGATTGGCTGGAGTTGGGCCTTCTTGATCTTGTAACTTCTTGCATAGCTTATCGTACATCCTGCGGCTAAGTTTCGAACTCGAATCGAATCTCATGCCGAACGTGAGTTCAAGATCTGTCAGGCTGAACCTCACCCACCGGATCCATCTTATGCTTTGCTGACTGCTCAACCCAACCTGGATGGATTCCCCGAAATGTAAAGCGTGGATGACATCACCTGCACGAGTCTCTGGCTCAAATCGTCGAGGTTCCGGACCATGGACGTTTCGCAAGACGGGGTAGTGTCCAAGGCTCGACGAAGTTCTTCCACTTGACAGGCTGTTACGGTAGTGATTATGAGATCTCAAGAGGGGCTTGAGTCCTTTAGCCGGAGACGAACCAGGTCGAGGTGTGTTCGGAAAGTCCCAGCCGAGTTTTCTAAGTGCAAAGCTTTGGCTCCTGACTTGTGAGACCAAAAGTGTTATTACTGAGGTTAGTTTGGAAGAGTGTCGGGGACTTGAAGGGTCCAAGGTCACATAGCCTTTTCCGATCAGGACGAGTTCCTCCAACTCTGCCAAGACCCGACGATTCGGAGCTACATGACGTCCCTGGACTCTCGTGCTGCAAGAAAGCCGACGACTACAGGTTGCGTTTTCCTGCTCTTCGGTTCATCTTTTTCGGATGTGAAGGTCCCAATCGGCCATTTGCCAGAAAGCGCAAAGGCCCAAACACGGACAAGTCCCAGGCGGCAAGACAGGATGACAAGTTGCAGCATGCCAGCCGAAATCTTGGACCCAGAGTTTTCAGACCCTTTTTGGAGGAGAGGTAGTGGAAGAGTGGCCAGTTGTATCCACACCCATGCCTTTCGGACGACCCCTATGACGGCCACACATTCCAAGTAAATCCAAATTGAGAACCAAAGTACCGCACTAAGGATGTGGACGTGAATGATGGCTCTCACCTCTTCAAGTTGTTGGATGACGGTGACTTGGTGCTTGACCGGCAGCGCCGGACGCTGTTTCCAAGCATGGACTCAACACAGCGCTTGAGCCAAGCTTTTGCGTTAGGTGACGGCAACTTGACCTACGAAGAGCTGCTTGCCTGTGCATGGCATGAGTGATGTGTTGTGACTTGGTGGGCTTCAGCGCTCCAGCTGTGCCTGAGCTTGACACATGCAACGTGATGGCCAGAACCTACATGCCAGTCCAATATGCTGGGTTTAGGCACTCGCGCTCTGCACAAGTCAGCCTTCATTGAAGCTTGAGTCATCTTGGGTTTCTGCTGTGTGACCCCTCGATCTCGATTACATCGCTCAGTCGAATTGCTCCCAGGTTCATCGGGGGCATGATGCGGTTCAAAGGACCTTTGGTGTTTTGCGCCAGGGTTTCACTGCAGCTTTGGCACTGCAAAAGCACAGGAGTAGTCAGGTTGAGTGGGAGAGTTTGCTGTCGTTTGGCAGGGGTGCAGAAGCGTATGGCAGAAGCTCTGTCAGGAAGTGCCAAGGCCATCGACGTGATTTACCTGCAAAGAGAGGTGGAGTGGCTGCAGATGGCCGCCGGGCCTGCAAGAAATCAAGCATGTGGAGCCTTCCGCAATCGCCTGCCAATCCGCTCAACCATGTAATCTTCTCACAGGCGCCGGTGAGTGTATACAGGCCTCTGCAGCGACTTCTGCACCGTCCCTGCACAGCAACTGCAGCAACCGGACGGCCTGCGACGGCCTGCGTGCTTGGTGGGTGCGCCTCTGCTCTTTGCTTGTGCCAAGAACTGCGCACTGCACGGCATCCGAGAATTCCGAGGCAGCCCAAGCGAGACATTGCGCATGTTCTGTCATTAGTTCATCCCTCCCCGGCGGATTCGGAGAAGCCGACCGGTGCGAAACCTCGTTTGTGACGATTCCAGGAACTGCTTCGGCTTAGCCACGCCATCATCGGCCCCAACGAGAAGGATCCACGGCACAAGAGAGCGGGGAGGCGCCCCCGCACTGCCGACGTGTGAAGCCCGTAGGTGGGGGGGGGGCTTTGTGACGGGGCCTTAAGCTGCTTCCAGGAGACACTCTGGCTTGATTCGAGCCAAGACAGACGATGTGGACAAGGTGCCGCAGTAGCAACTTGTGTCTTCCGTGCTTGTGGGAGCTTGGCCGCCACAGGGTGACAGCTTTCTTTGGTGTTCAGGGAAGACAGACAGTCTACCTCGTCTCCCACCCCCCATAAGCCCTCATAGGGCCATGCTGCCCGCTTCGGGGTGTGTTTCAAGCGACCGCAGCTGGTGCAGTCCTCCTAGTGCAGGTCGGTGACAAGCTCCAGTATTTCACTGCATTGCGAGATGGGTTTAGTAATTCAATCCAGTACAAGGGACTCAACAGCTGGGCACTCACTCGTCCGTTTGGGGCCAGATCGAGTCGCCCGAAGTCCCACACGATCTCCTCAGTGGCCTGCTGAAGAAGTAATTCTTCAGAGGCAAGACCCGGCAGTGATGCTATCAGAGATCTGGAAGGAGGGCGAGAGTCATGCAAGTAGTCGAGGGACTCGAGGGCCAAGAAAGCAAGACAGCTTGTGCGGATTTCGAGCCTTGCAGACATCTCACATGGCACGATGGAAGACTCAGAACCGTGCTCGGATTCGCAGGTTCTGCAGTGGTTTTGATTCCCACTCCGTCCCGCCACTCCCCAGATATCCCTATCCCGTCCTCACTTGAGCCCCGATCTGCACGGAAGGCCTTCAAGAAGATCCCGTTAAGAAAGCATCAGCAAGCGTCAGGACCTTGGGATCCCCCTCGGTGAGCTGTCTGCTCGTGCTGGCTTGGCCTTTCTGGTTTGGTATCGGCTTGGGCTTGGGTCAAGGTGCAATAAAGGCGCTGAGCGAAACCCACGTGATGATGGGAAGATGGATGGAGTCAGCCTAAGATTCCGTGTTCAGGGTCTCACCCGAAGCTGCAGCCTGAATACCCGGAGGACCAAGCTCTTTAGTTTTTTTGTCTTTCGGAGCTCCGGCCCATGTTGGCTCGAAGCAGTGAAGTTCAAACCCTTCCCTTGGGGCAGTCAGTTACCAGACGCTTTGAGCCTCCCCGGAAAACCTTCAATTGCAAATCTCAAGAAACCCCACTGTACTGGAGCCCTAAATCCGATCCCAAACCTCCAGAACCTCCCCCCACTAAACCCTAAACCCCTAAATCCCTAAACCCTAAACCCCTAAACCCGAAACCCGAAACCCGAAACCCTAAACCCCTAAACCCTGAACCCCTAAGCCCTAAACCCGAAACCCCTACACCCGAAACCCTAAACTTTAAACGCAACGCCCAAATCTCTAACTCGAGCTGTGAGCCGAAGAGCCTGCGAAAAACCAGGTGTCCAAGTTTCGGGGGCCGGTGGGTTTTGGACCCAAGTGGGGGGTTTCGAAATGCGAGTCTTATTCAGAACAGGGGGCTCTGTTTGGTTTTATTCTTTCCTACCAAGGAGTTCGGCGGGTTTCATGGGGTTTTGTAAGATTTTATGTGTGACTTTCTGACAGTTAGGGTATTGTTGAGGTCCTCAAGAAAACCATGTTACTCTTGAGTGTCCATACAAGGATTCATCTACATATGCATATGTTTATGTATGAATGCATGTGTATATGTGTTTAAGGGTGTACATGCACACACACACACACGCATATATATATATATATATATATATAAGGGTCTCGGATCAAGTGCCCGCAGAATCGAGCACATCGCCGGAGACCCCAGTGCTTCGGAACATCGCCCATGGCTCGTGGGAAGAGGAAGCACGTCTGCCAAAGCTGCGGTCACACATCGTGGCCTAGCTACACAGATGCCGGATGTGGAACCCTGATTTTCCCCAGCTACACAGACTTCTGTAGCTGCACTGGTGGTTCAAGGTCAGCAGATGATGGGTCTCCTCGTTGCTATGACTACTACTCTAGCTGGTGGCAAGCTGACAGGTTCATGAGGGCATATGAGGTTGCAGTAAACATAGTGGGACTCAACACTGGAAGACGTGGTGAAAGGCCACATGCTGTGCAGGATGCTGGTGATAGCTTGGTGCACAACGATATGAGTGAAAGGCATGATGGCCCAGATGGGAAAACATTCCTTTCGACGAATGAAGGTGTCTCGAGTTACGTGCATGATGGCCCGAATGGGCATGCACGCCACCCAAACAACAAAGATGACTGCAGCAGGGATCGACGTTGGAAGCTGCTTTATACCTTGTTACACGACGAACCTGGTTTGGCTACCGTCTGGAGTGGTGGTTGGGAACCACTGGGCGAACAGCAGTCGCCCACTTTGGGTGCCCCGGAAGACAGGTCAATGCCATTGCAGAGTCGCGGTAGATTACTGTTTACAAAGCTGCACGACGAATTCTGCAGCACGGCGCGGTGGTGTGGTTCATGGGAACCCTTGGTGCTGAATGCTACGCACATGTTCGGGCAGACATCGCCCAACAACTCTGCATGGTGCATGCGTGGAGGCTTGCCAGTTGTCGTGGAGACCGAGAGCAGGCACGCCTTTACGCTAAATGTGGAGGCAGATGCGGCTGTGACAGTGGCACCGGGTGGGCATGAAGGAAAGCATTTCTGGCGCACGGGTGACGCCGACTTGTGCGGTACGGCGTGGACTTGCAAGACAACCACATGGAGCTTGGGCTCCCGAGATCCTCATCGCCCACTCCATGTGAGCAAGCTGTCATGTGTCAAACATGTTTTGACCGACTCGAAGGCTCGAAGGGACTGGATACCACGGAAATGAGTTTTGTGCCTTGGGATCCAGGCGGCAACGGCTAAGATGATTGTGGGCTCGCTGTTGTCGTGATAGCTCAGGGAGCAAGACGGTGAATGCAGCACGATGTAAAGCTTTCATGTGGCGTTTAGCTGTGGCTGAATTGAGGGTACGTTTCGCCCGTGCTGCGCCACACTTTTCCAGTTTCGTGTATGGCGCTCGTGAGGCGGAGACAGCTTTTCACGTTACAGGCGTGCGCTGGTTTCATCTCCCTGTCCGCGAGCCTTGTAGATGTAGCCTTAGCGCATACTGGTACGTGTCCAGATTTCTGCGCGAGGATTCCCTAATTAGATGCAAGCCAAAGGGCCGCGCCCGAATCGGACACAACGCCCCAAATGCGAGAAATGCGAGAATATATATATATACATGTATATGTATGTATGTATGTATGTATGTATGTATGTATGTATGTATGTATGTATGTGTATATGTATATATATATATATATATATATATATATGTACACACACACACACACCTGCCTACTATGCTTACACACAGATGTACGGAAATATATATATATATATATATATATATATATGTATATATATAGATAGATAGATTTGTGCATGTGCATGTGCATGTGCAGGTGTATGTGTAAGTGTATGTGTATGTATATGCGTGTATTTGTGTGTGTACATGTCTAGCTGTGTAGGTTTGTAGGTGTGTATGTGCGTGCATGTGTGTGTGTGTGTGTGCGTGTGTGTGTGTGTGCGCGCGTGTGTGTGTGTGTGTGTGTGTGTGTGTGTGTGAACCTCCCTAGCACATGGGAGCAGAGGGTCACTCCTACACTGTTTGCAATTTCGCTTTTCAACACAATCCGGCATTGGACATTTACTAAATCAACTGTTGCAGGGGGGCAGGACATCTTTAGCAGTGCCTGCCCAACGAAGAGGCTGCTAAGAGATGCTGATGCGACAGAGGACGCTCTGTTGTGTACCTGCACAACACAGCTGAGGCCCCTGAGCCAGCAAGATTAGAAGGCCCCTGTGCCAAGATTAGAGAGTTTTTCAGTTGCCACTTTTGGTGGTTGATTTGACAACAAACAAGTTGTACGGTTGCCACAATCTGACAAACTTTTGCAACATGAACAACATGCCTCTCTTTTTCCTCTTGCACTCGTACTCTTGGCCGAATCCATCAGTGTGATCAGCGTGGGTCGATGAGACTCCAGAGCAACGGCTTTCCGTCATGGCGCCGTGGTGACCCTCCGGGGAGACCGGTGATGAACCGGGTGTTCAGCCTTCGTTCAGATCGTTCAGAATCTCCAGATGCTACTTTATCTCTCTCTCTCTGATGCTCGCATGTGAGTCTGACATGAGTGCAGGTGCAGTAAGGGGACGGCTAATGCAGTAAAGTGCGTCTAGTGAGCAGGTGCTACCTCTCTAGTCTGCCCCGTATTTTACCGCTTCTTTATTCCTCAGGGACTGCAAGGGCATGTGCATCTGACATGAGTGCAGACGTGGTAACGGTGTCTACAGCAAGTGAAACAGCGCTCTCTTCGGAGAGTACTCGGCCCTCTTCCTTCTCTCCGTCTACGACCTCTCAAATCAGTCCAGCAGGGACAATCAGGACAGCCTGCACTTTGCTTGTGCAACTGTGTTTGTTTCACCCATCTCGTTGCAGCTATGTGGCCGGATTATTTTGCCGCGCAGCCACCAGCAACACCATATGCACCAACAGCCCGACCGGTGCTTAATCAATTTCACCCGAACACCTGGGTACCGCAGTCACAAAGCTACCCAGCAATGATGCCAACTGGCATTGCTGCCACTCAGCAGCCCACACTGCCGACACAACCCACTACGATTCCTGTCGAGCAGACGCACGGCTTCCCCATGATGCCGTGTGGACACACTGCCCCTATTCCACAGCATCCGACGGTCTATACACATCTCAGCACACCACAACCCCAGATGCCACAACAACCTCCACCCCAGCAATTCATGTCACAACACCCCCCCCCGTTCTTGAACCCTGCTCTTTTGCCTACCCATCCAACAGTTTTTCCCACGAGCCCATCTACTCTGACACCGCATCAGCCCCAGCCTACCACATACAACCTTCCTTTTACACCACCTGCTCCACAACCCCAACCTGCACCTTGCAACATCCCGTCCACACAACCCACTCAACAACCCCACATACCGCCGCCAACAACACTCCAACAAGCTCCACAACTTCACCCCATCAGTGTTCCCACTACCGATGCTGTACACACTGCCCCGCAGACACCGGCAATGACTCCCCAACAACAACCAACAAACACAGCCAACACCCCTTCTGCCAGCACAGTGCCACCCACACAACCACCCCCGGCTACGGGATCGGCAGACACTGACCAGTTCGCAGCACGTACTTCTCCCCACCACCCTCCGTTACCACGCAGGCGACGGCGCTCACCCACACGCAGCAGAACTCGCACCGTGAGCACTAGACGCCGACGACACACACGCAGCAGAGCACGACCTGCAAGCAGCGGCAGACAGCACCGCCGACGCAGACACCACCGATCCCGCGACACTCGCAGAAGCCGCTCTCGCAGGGACACCAGGCGATCTTCACCGACACCTCCCCGGACCTCGGTTGTGCTCCGCAGCTATTCTACAGTGCGTGATGATGATGCCAACAAGTGGCATTACAGAGCCACACAGCCACGTCAGAGGCCAC